CTGCTCCACATTTATTCTGCTTAAACAAAGACAAACACACACACACATTCACACACTAACGAGGGCAATCGCGGCTCCGCTGCCACCTGGCTCATCCCTCCAATTAAGAATTCCCTAACGAGGTGCCAATTAGAGGAAAAGAATGAAGAAGACAAAAGCAAAGGGTCACAGAGGGCAGAAAACATGAAACAGAGAGAGAAAGAGACAGACAACAAGGCGAGAGGAAGTGATGGCAATTACACATGACAAGACAGAAACATGTTTGTTTAGACTCTATTTGATCTATTTTTGCTTTTTCCTCGTTATCGTCAGGAGTTTAAAGGGCAAATGTTTGACATTTGTAAAGTGCTAAAAGGAAATAGAAATATTTCTGGATGGGTGGTATATAGCGGTTAAAGATCAAGATGGTCACTGAAAGGTTGTAGGTTCGAACCCTGAAAAGCTTTGTGCACGATGAGCTGGTATGATATTAAAATTTTCTTTAAATAACTTCAATAACCCATTCATTTCTTGATATGGCTGAAAATTATGGAAGCTTTTGATAAATAAAAATGCTAATTGTGACCTTTGCAATTGCAAGTTATAAACTCGTAACTGCGAGTTTACAACTCCCAAATTTTTGTTTTTTGCAAAGTTTATATCTTGCACTTTTTACCTTTTTTTTTAGAATTCTGATTTTACATCTTGCAATTTTGACTTTTTTCTCAGATTTCTGACTTTACGTGTCACAATTAGTTTTTTCCCCAGACAGTATAAAGTACAGTATCTAACAATTCTGACTTTTTTCCTCACAATAGCGAGTTTATATCTTACAATCAGACTTTTCTTCTCAGAATTACGACTTTATATCTTGCAATTCTGAATTTATCTAAAAAGTCATAATTGTGAGATAAACAAATAATTAAAAAATCTAAATTTCCTTTATTCATTTTTTATTCCATGGCAAAAATAAGCTTCTGTAGAAGAGTGATAAATGGTCAATAAATTTCATAAATAGCTGATAAATTTAATAGCTCATAAATGGCTGAAACATTTATTTAAAAATGTAACTACTGTATTACAATTTTATTAAAAACTGAGATTTGCATTGAACTTTTTAATTAAATTACTAGTGGCAAAGGTGATCTAAATGTAAAAACAGGGGAAATAAGCATGTTTATTTACATTGCGGACTTATGCGTGCATTACCGCCACCTATCTCTCAAATGGACCACTGACACTCCTAATTGAGATTGTAGATAGAGTGTCAATGGTCCATTTCAGAGATAGGTGGCGGTAATGCACTTATAAGTCAGCGATCTGCCGTAAAGCAAGAAGAAGAAGAAGACGCGGCACGCGCCGGCTGAAGAACAAGATGCGAACACGCTCAGGACAGTTCGGACATTGCAGTAAATCAGAGGTAAAAAACAATATAAATACTGTTCAGTTTCTTGCACAGACCAATCGTTTTGTGTCTTTACACATCAATGTATCGTCACGAGCCACAGGGTTTAATTTGGTTTTGTTTGTGTATGTTTTTTTGACTCTCAAAGCCATGATTCTCATTCACTGACATTATATGACTGACAGACTGCAACGGTTTGGGTTAAAAATCTCAGTTTGTATTCTACTGAAGAAACAAAGTCATCTACATCTTGGATGCCCTGGGGGTAAGCAGATAAACATTACATTTTCATTTCTGGGTGAACTATCACTTTAATACTGGTAAGTAAATAAATATATATCTGCTTTATAAACAATGGGGAATTCCCTAAGAATTAATTGTAGCCACTGATAGTGTCATTTACGTACCAATTTCACAAAAGAAATTAAGCAAATCACATAATGACATAAACATACCCACAAAATGTTTCAGTCTGGACATAAAACCTCAACTGTTTTTACACCTGCACGTCTCAAAAAAAAAAAAACACGCAAATGGATCCTGATAACAACCCCCACACAGGCATTCCACTGGAGGTCAGGACCTCTGAACATGACCTTCGACCTCTGTCTTAGGATCAGTCAGTCAGAGCACTGTGAAACAGTCGACTGCCTCTGAAAACATACAATATCCCACCCGGAAGAAAAGAAAGACATATGAATGGAGCAAAGAGACTGAGAGGAGAAAGGATGAGGAACTAAAGCATACATGTGTGTGGATATCTGTTAGCTTAGTCTGAACTTTAACCGCCTACTTAGACAGGAAGAGATTATTTGAGTGATATGTAAATGTGCCAAATTTGTTTTGTCTTTACATGTCATTTAAAGGTGGGTTTATCTGAAATAGATTGCACCATATACAGGTGTGGAAAAAAGGAATTGTTATCGTATTATATCATATTTACTTGCTGCTAAATGCTTTAAACAAAACTGTGAGTCTCATTCAAAGATTTGAAGATTTGAAGGTGAAAATGTAAAAATGTGTGCACACTTTCTGAAGGTCTGCTTAGCCCCTGCTAGTTAGATGCAGTACCTACCATAATAATACCAAAAAAAAACATCTCTCATTCAAGAGTAGCTATATATTCTTACAAAATATAAATATGTTGCAAGCAGCAAACACATCGCGAACAAAGTTTAGGGACATTGGCTGGAGTTGCAACAGCATAATTGCACACTGCTTGTACTATTTCTGCCATATATAGATTAGAAAAAAGTAATAGTAAGAGTAGTATGCTAGTATCACATGAATTTTACAACAAACAAAGATACAATACTGCACTTTTGTGTATAGGCAAGGAATTTGCATTCCATGAAGAGCTGCAAATAATGTAACTTATTCAAACAGTACAATATAAAACTACTGTATTAAAGTCATTGATTATTTGCATACATAGAGTACAAATATACTCTCTCTATATATATACAAACACACACACATACGTATACAGTATATATCTGCATACACTACAGTTCAAAAAGTTTGGGGTTTAATGTTTTCTAAAGTCTCTTGCTCACCAAGGCTGAATTTATTTGATCAAAAATACAGTAAAAACAGAAATCAAATAACTGTTTACTATGTTAATTTATTTTAAAGTGTAATTTATTCATGTGACGCAAACTGAATTTTCAGCATCATTACTCCAGTCTTCAGTGTCACATGATCCTTCAGAAATCATTCTAATATGCTGATTTGCTCAAGAAACTAATTATAATGATCAATGTTGAAATATTCAGCTTCATATTTTTGTGGAAACCTTATAATAAATTGTTTTCAGCATTCTTTGATGAATAGAAAGTTCAGAAGAACAGCATTTATATGAAATATAAATCTTTTGTAAAATTATAAATGTCACTTTTGATCAATTTAATGCATCCTTGCTGAATAAAAGTATTAATTTTTTCAAAAATATATATTTACAAACATATACACAGTGCAATGACATTTAGTTGATTGTCATTTGCAATGCTTCATGGGAGTGGGCAGCTGCAAATGAACTATTGTAGTTGAAACTGAACTGGCCTTTGGTTTCTAAGTATTTTCATCCCTTAACAATCTCAGGTGCTCACAACAAATCTGCCATGAGATGTTTATACACTCTCATCCCAAATCACTTCCTCAATGAGGGAAATATATGAGATTTTACGTCCAGAACCCGACTGTTGTGCTCCGTTTCCAACAACACACAACCCCGGTGAGTGTGTGAGCAGGTGGTGGAGTGGATCTAGAGGTCAGCAGTCGTGCTTCAGCTCCCAAATATAGAGCGTCCGTGTCACCGACTACGAGACGCAGATCTCATATCACACCGAGACCTCACCACACTCGACCCTCTCTCTCCCGTTCACACTACCATCTTTATCTGGCCTCCACAGCCTGGCATTCAGAGCGGTATCATGTGTGTAAGGTTGCCTGTCTGTTGTCTGTACACTCACCTGAAACATGAAACCAGCTCGCAGCCCCCCGAGCATGACCTCTGACCTCTCTTCCTCTCTACAGATATGAGACTCCGGCCCGCTCGCTCTGCTAATACGAAGCATGTTTGTGCACATATAGGTATACTTTTTTGTGTGGGGATCTACTTTTCAAATGAGAAACTCGCCGTGATCTACCAAGTGAAAAATACATAAATAAAAAAAAATACATATAAAATAAATAAATAAAAAGCTTGTTGGGATGTATCTTTATATTGCAATAATTTACATTTTAATTAAAATAATAATAATAATAATAATAATGTTCAATTCTTAGTACCCCCGTAGAACTGTGCCAGCATTTACCTAAAGCAGTGGTTCTCAACCTTTTTACTCCAAGAGCCCCTCCTCTCCAAATCAATACTGCAACCCCAAACTTTTCTATTCACTAAAACCTTTGTATTTGTTATTAATTTTCAATTACATGTATTTTTTTTAACAAATCAAATTCAAGATAGATTTAAACATTCCATGTTCTTTTTTGCAAACATACTTTGCAAAAATGTCACTGCAGATATTCTACACAACTTAAAATTATGTAAAGCTCAATTATACAGTAATATTAACATATAAGCACAAGTCAACCTGCCATACCAAACAATACCACAGGGAGATGCCAAAGGACTACATTTAAACTACTACACAGGTCCATTCAGAATCACTAAACGCACCAAAATACAAATGAAAAATGAAACCATTCTGAACTCAGCAATCTGAAGGCGGCTCGATGCCACAGTGAATAGTTTCTCTGTCAGAACAAGCTGTTTGGAGCGTCTGATGCCCATATGTACATAAACACCACCGATCCTCACAAACTTCTCCAAAACATGCGAGAATCCGTTATAAAACACAATATTTAACATTTTAGTCATAACATTAGTGAATATTATATTTTAGTTTTAAGTTATCTCGCACCCCCCTGGTTGAGAACTACTTGACCTAAAGCGCGATCTCGACCTATTGGGCACCCCTGGGTTATGGTGTAGCTAAAGCTTTCACGTCGATCGCATTACGGAGGTATAAACATTACCGGTAACAGCAGGGTCTCGACCAGCAGTGGACGTACATGTAAGGTAAATCTTTTGAGTGTGTGTGACTGTGTTTACCTGCACACGATTCGCTGTCCCGCATGCATTAGCTTCCACGAACCATCGAATCTTGAGTGATGGAAATCTGTAGAAACACATAAAATAACGCTGTTTTACATTTACAAAGGCAAGCAACACTATTTGAACAAATATTAAACTTTAGCATGTAACGTCATGTACCGTTTGATCTACAGACAATAAAATAGGAAAATCTGTCACACTAGAAAACTAGAAAATATTTGGCTCGGAATATAAAAGTTTATATTCGGTCCTATAAGTATACGGAAATTTAAGTCACATTTAAAAATATTTTCATGTTATTGCATATGATTACACAAAATATAATTTGAATGACACCTGCTTTTATACAAAATATCATAATATATTTTTACAAAATAAATGCTTTTGGACTAGCAACCACCCCAGCACTGTGACACCAAATTTTATATAGCTAGATTTCCTGTAATCTAGTTAGATTTAGCGTTATCAGTTACTATGTAAAAGGTACAAAAATATCATTATATAATGATAAATGTTATTACTTTTGAAGTAAAATCTACAAAAAGAATCATTATATTATCTAGAAATAATCTAGTTATCTAATTTTCCTATTCAAAAAAAATCTACAAAAAAACTTTTTTTTTAATTTTATAAAAAATCATAAATATGTGAGATCTCTCATAAAGGATTTGGATTTTTTAATTATTTAACAATCAGCATTTATTCATTCCTATAATTGTTTTATGTTAAAGAAATACAAAAAATACAACAAAAAAAATGTTACATTGTAAAAACCTTTTTGGCTTCTACTCTCCCTTCATCATGAAGTTCAATATCTTCAAACATCCAGATGGTTTCCTGCTAAAATCAACCAAGGTTGGAGATTTGAATATCATGGTTCAGAAAAAGAGTCAAATCTGCTACCAAACTAAGGCTACCACACAATCGGCTGAGAAAACCGTTAAAGGGTTATTGGCTGATTATTAGCTGCCTGATGCTGTTGATTTCTGATGTCACTGCATGTTTCCACCAATCAAATACAGAAAACATCTAATGCGAAACACAAGACATCAGACACAACCATATCAGCACCAGTCACAAGTCAGTCAATGTAATCAAATCTGTGAAAGACATCCCTTTCATACTGAGAACGAGAGTGAGTGAGTGAGACAGAGGGGGGGGGGGGGGGGGGGGGGTAGAG